AAATCAATAATTAATTTATTAACTGGGGGTATCTTTTGAAAAAAAAACCCTAAAATCAGCAGTCTTGGCCAGGCTGCTCCTGCCAATACATAAATAGTTGATGACAAAAATGAAAAGTGTAGAAGTAAAATTCAGATCTTAACGATCAAAGTATCGGGTACCTCATCTATCACAACTTGGAATAAACATATCACAGAAAGTGTCATATCTCATTGACACTGCAAAACAGAAAGCTTTCCCTTGTTATCTCCCGAGCTGCCAAGGCTGCAGAGTTTATAGGCTGCTAAGATAATGTGCTGGTGGGATCCACTTCACTTGCAGGAATATGAAGTACTGTTGAAATATATTTCTACTTGGTTTATTCTTTGCTCTCAAGAGGGTAGGGTACTATTTCAGTTCCTCTAAAGAAGCTCAGAGAATGAAAAGCGAAACATCAGGATAAATTATGCTAAATGGTGGACTAGACCCCAGAGGAAATCAGGCTTCTGTGGTACAGTATTCCTCCATTTATCTCACAAATGTTACATCTAATGTTAATTTTGTAAAGGGGAGGCATTCAAAGCTTCATCTGATCCTTTTAATTATAGTTTTAGTCCTATAGTGTTATTTGTCAAGCTCATACCATCATAACTTACTTTTCTAGTTTTGGCAGACCATTCAGACAGATAATATTTTGGCCGACTAATACATAACATTTTATTTCACAAAACACAAATAACCTAGTAATTACACTCCAAAACTTAACAAATAATTGCCAGCAAGCAATTACCATTCAATTAAAGAGTAATTACATGGTTATTTGTGCCCTGTAAAATAAAGCATTACTGAAATCAGCAGTGCAATCAATATTTTAGCAGAAACAGGATGCTGCAGTGATGGACCTTTCAACCTGTGCTGATTAAATTGTCATCCAAATAACAGTTTCCTAGTTAAATCACCACATGTTTATTTGTGTTGATTAATATGCAAATTCACTTCTGATTCTAGTAAATCTCCTATATTTAAGAGCACAAAAGTAGAGCACTATCATACATCAACAGTGATGTGCTCTGTGTTTCCACTGATTAATTACATTTCACAAAGCATTGATGAATTTGTGGATTTTATGAAATATAGTTCTCTATAATGAGCATAAAATAGAGTTACGAAAGATGGAGCTGATCAGTAATTTTAAGAAAATCACAAAAATAACCTAATTTCATGTTTTGATTCAAATTAAAAATCCTTGGGATATCTAGGGAATATATAAAACTTTGAGAGGAAAAATAATAAAATTAGATCTCAACAGGAGAGGAAAATAAAGAAGAAAACAGACATTAATGAACAATTTCACAACATTTTACTGTATAAATTTTAACTGTCAGACATACTGCTTACGATGTAATTTATTTTCTGGCAAATTTAATTTCAAACAAAATTAAAAAAATGAACAACATTCAAATTAGTTCATATTTCTCTTTCAAGAGTTAGTGATTTTTCAGGGGTGGGGTGGAGAGGATGGGAAGAATAACTACAGATATAGTATAAATGCAGGTAGAAACCCCAAAACTTCCAGTCATCTTCACTTCCAAGTAATTGATAATCCAAGGAGTTTTGGGGGTTTCTTTTTGAGAGATACTAATAGAATTTTAATGAGTAGAGACTTTGAGCTGACCTTATTTAGTAAAAAGAATAAGATTCCTGAAGTTATAAATGAGAAACAGTGTTTTACTTCTGTTTTAGTTTCCATGGTCTTCACTTGGGACCATAACTTTTGTATTTTAAAATGTTTTTAAGAGATATCTAGAAACCAGCAGTTTCTAACTGCGTTAACATCAGTTTAGATTTGAGTAATTTTCCATTCACATCGTTCCTATTGATGGCAAATATAAAATTTGTGCAGAGATTTTAGACCCTCAAAGAAACACAGTCAGAGTTGTTTGAAGCTGATTGTTCCTGTTTATGCTTCCTTTGTTACCAGCGAGGAAAAGATTTTTCTGCACTTCTCGAATGTGTAACTTTCTCGAAGGAGACAGAGGAAAAGGGGAAAAAGAAAACGCAATAAAGGAGCAGGATGACAAAAGATGATGAGAAATGATATTAAATAAAGTTAATATTTATATGCTAATGCTATTAGCATTTATATGCTAATACTTACATAATCACAAATTATGTCTTACTCTCCCGAAATGATAACTCTGCTTGCCTTGGCGTTGCTGTTCAGTGCTCGTATTGGCAATTTTCTCTCAATTGTGGGGGTTAGATGTGTTTTAAACAGTAAATGTGAAACTTGTTGGAATCCTAGACCTCATAAGACGACAAGAGGGGATATTTGGGAGTGTTGAGACAGACCAGTGAAATTCCATTGCTTGATGTTACCAGCCCTGGCCCTCACATCAGTGCACCCACAACACAAAGTAAATCCCACAGAAACCTGGAATCTGCTAATGCTTTCTTTCCTCTGTGCATCTCTTATTAAAAAATAAGATTTCGTGCAGACCTTTGTATCCCGTTTCTATGAAATTTCTGGTTTCACATTTGAACAGAAATGCCAGAAAATTTATTTCTGGCCAGAGCTGGAATTGTTTGGTTTCAGATGTGGAACCGAGATGCTTTCTGTGAGTTCTGGTGTCCTCCCAGGCTAAAGGTCTTGCTTTATGATGGGTGACGTGTCTCTGTGATCTCCAGGGAATCCATCTGGGAGTGCAGGGCATCTGGGCAGTGCTGGGAGCTCTTGACTTTGTTTCCTTGGGTCAGAACCAGACACGGGGCAGTGAAGGTGTTCTCATGTGAACTGCAGAACGCAGAGCTAAAGACCCAAAGGGTCCTCTGCAGGTGTGTGAAAGTCATCTGTAAGCAGCAGCCAGCCTGGAGTTTTTAATTTAAAAGCTAAGATTAAGTTAGAGACAAAGGAGTTAAGATTTTATTTGAACAGATTCAGCTGGGAATAATTCCATTCAAATTATTACGGCTGCAGCTGTAGAAGTAAGCCCAGAATCCGGCCTCTAGGAGTTGCTGCTTTATAGTAATAGTCACTAAAAGGGTTTGAGTAGGTTAGAAGTACACTTTTCTTCATGTCTGCTCATGGTATAATGCTGAGAAACACCTTAAGATCTGCTCTGGTGAACCTGTGGGCTCGGAGTCAGCAGAGCCATCCACACCAACTGTTGTCAGGGCAAAAACTGCATAACCAGGGGTGTGAAACTGCACTGTCCCTCCTCCCCGTCCTCTGAAAACACAAATCATAAATAAAAAGTCTCTTCATAAAATCTTTTAAAGCTGTTTGTTGAATTTTGAAATGTTTTTCTGAGATTAATATCAACATATGGAGTTTTCTGCAGAAGATTTGTTAGTGTTTGAGCTTGAGCAGAGAATGTTTTGTTGTTTTGTTTTGTTTTTTTTTCTTCTGTTGGAGAAAGCTGCTAATTTTAGCTGGTTTGTAATTGTTTGTTTTTTTTTTTTTTTTTTCCAGAGACAATAAGTGCCAACTAAGCACTTAAACATGCCTGTGGATAAGCACAGGCTTCTGTAATTCAAAAGAACAACGACTCTTGTTTGTTTAAAACCCCCACGTACCAGCCTAATACTGTCTGTTAGACAATGTTGTTGAGCAGGGGATGATTTCAGCAGGTGATTTTAATAGAAAATGCACATGTGCATCAGACTTCCTGTGGAAATCAACTGCTCTTATTTTAGGTTTACTTTATTATAACCCAGCGAGTCGAGGCTCTTGTAACCAGCTTTACTGCACAGCCATCATAGGATGATAAACAACTGAAAGCATCAAAAAGAAAAAAATGGAAAAAGTACTGAATAAAATGAAATACAGAATGGACAAACCTGAAACTAAAAGAGGGGGGAATGGTTTTATAGAGATAAAATAATAAACCAAAGAAAAATAAAAAATTTTGTGCTACTTTGATGTACAGTAAAACAAAATAACAGTAGCACGGTGTGAAAAATGAACAGGTTAATGGTACCTCTGTGTGGTGCTGCTGGAAGTTGTCTTCATTGAAATGCAGAGTTTGTTGTACGTTGATGGAGGGCTTTGCCACTGTAAGTTGATCGAGCGAAGTTTAACTTAAATTTCTTTGTGAGCTAGAAGTCATTTTGGAAATGTTTTCTATTCAAACCTCATTCATTGTTGCAGCTTAGTTATTTTATACAGTGTTTCACTCCATGTTGTCAAAAGCTCCATTATTCAACAGAGTAAAATCTGTTTTGACCAAAGAGAAGCAGCAATGCTTTTCCAAACATGAGGAGGTTGCATTTTTATTAGCTGGCTTGGGGAAGAGTCGATTCAAATGGGTTTTTGGCCTGTAAATCTGTATTATGATGGCAGCTGTGCAGGATTTACATGTACACACCGATGTAAGGGATAAATGTGGTAGTAGAAAACAAGAGTGCAATGGAACCAGTCTGTAAATGGACCTTTAACATTTTGGATTAAAATCTGCAGCCATTATTCATAAACTGGTCAAGAGGTGGTGAGTTTTTTGCTAGGTTGGGTTGACATTCTTCATTTAATCTGTAGTAATGAAAACCACCAGTCATAATCTGTGAAAATAAGTGGTCAGTTCTGGCACAGCTCAGTGCTAAATTATCTCTGCCCCTTCAAAAGTGGGCAGTTACCTGCCATCATTCCCAAGGCAAGGTTTGAGATGATGTTGCATTCAGAGTTCCAATTTCTCATCTTTCACCATCACAGCTTTTAGTTTTCTGTGGTGCAGGTGCGTGGCCCAGACCTTGGAGCAGTTACTGCTGTGACCCCTCTCCACCAGCCACCTGTAAGGTGATGGAAGCCCTGGATGATAGAAGAGCTTACTGTTAGCTCATTTGAAATCTGTGCAATTCTGTGTTTAATCAAATTATCTTTGTTTTTTCTTAGGCAAGAATTTCTGATTTTTATTTTTTTTGGTATCACTGACAGTTCATATATTTTATACAAATCGATGCCGTTGTGTCATAAGCAAATATTTCCGAAAGAAAACGAGTTTTCATTTATGCTCTTATTTCATCAGCTCGCGCCCTGGCAGACCCCCCAAGCGTTCCCTAGGAGTTGCCATACAAGAAAATGCACGTCTCCTGCCCCACGGAGTTCCAGGCCTCTTATCACCAGGACTTATCTCTCCGACAGGTAATAAAATCCATCAGATGATCAGCCTCATCTCTTCATACTGCACAGCAGTTAAAATAAACTAATATTGATCTAACTGCCTTGTCCTTCAGGGCTTTTTCAGGCTTTACCAGAGGTTACGTTATTGGATTTTTTGAGTGTTCATGAAAACTCTGTTTTGTTGCTGCAGTGACTGAAATCTAATGGATTTGTAATTTAGTTCTTTATTAATTGTAATTTCCTTACAGGAAATTCCATTAAATGTGTTATTTTAGTAAAAGAAAAAAAACCTGAGAAAATGAACTATTGTCTCAGAGCCCTGTAGCAGCATTTCTTCCTTTGAAATGTGTGTGTTTTAGTTCTCGTGGGATATGAGCAGCGTGGCTAATGTGTGTTGTATTGTAACACCATTAATGTATGCTGGGAGATAGAGAAATGCTTGTACGAATTAGAGAAGAAACACTCTTGAAAAGCAGATAAGTCCACGTTGCCACAGTGGATTGTACTTTAATAATCTGCTTTCAGTAACATAATACAAAAAAAGTAGCATGAAAATATGTGAAATTATAAACAAGCCCTAAACATAATCTAATGCGTAGTATTTAATTTCACTTCATTAATTTATTAATAGAGTTTAAATTAAATCTTGTGCTATCCTGATGAGTGTTTTAATTTTTTATTAATTGCTGTATGCTAAAGGTAAGTTGATTTTCGTAATAAAGCTAAATCCACAGACTGTATTCATAAAAGTAATTGCTTAAACATTCAACAGGCTTAGGAGTTTTAAGATTACTGTCGAAGTCCAGTCTAAATATATTGTAACTCCATAATAACCAAACCTGGTGAAGTGTTTAGGAGAATACAAAGTTGTAGAATATGTTACAGGAGATGCAGAATTAAAAAAGATTATTTCTAGGAGTGTAGTAATGTCTGTCCTGATCTGACACTGCAGAATCCGTGCACTGCAGTCGAGGGCCTCGGTGGTCTTGGTGTTCTTGGGGGTAACACAGGGAAGAGCTTTAATTTTTTGTACCTCTGTAATGTTCTCAACTCAGGGACTTCATGGATTCGGTGTTGATGTTTGTACTGATAGGAAAGCACAAGAGCCACCTTGCATTGATAATTTCTTCTCTGAAATCCGGAACATTCCATATTACTTTCCCACTCTGTGTGAGTTTGCAAATAGGACATCAGATTACGCAGACTGCCTTGTTGCTTTAACCTGGGTAATATTTTAGGATGTGCAGGGTGTGACATTAAACTCATATCATAGACACATTCTGCGTCTCACAGATATTTTGAGTAAAAGATCTTTTAAGTTGAATTTCTAGGCTGTTGGAGGTTGTTTGGAGTCTGAAGTGATGAGGAGGATGCGTCCCACTGTGTTTAACACACGGGTTACAGGAGAGGATTGACTTGGGGGGGTGTTTTTCAGCCGAGGCCTCTCTGACCTTGGGAGCCGCCTGAGAAAACCTGTGTGTGACCCAGCGCCAAAAGCCCCAGACAGTGTGCCTGGAGCAGCTGAAAGGGAGTTGTGGGAGCAGCGTGGAGGCGGGAGAAAATGCCCATCTCCAGAGCATCCCGGTGTCACCGAGGGCCCGGGCGAGACGGGTCCCTGCGGCCGGGGCAGCCCTGACGCCGGCCCACGGCAGGACAGCTCCACTGGTGCCCCATGGCCTTGTCACTCAGGAGTCAGAGCTCCTGGTGGGGGTTTGTCTTGGTGAATCTTGTTTATTAAGGAAGAATGATGTAAAATTTGAGGGAGTTTCCGAGTAAGGAAAGATGCTGAAAGAGCCACTTGTGAACACAGTGGGGATTTGAGCTGTTGTAAACTTGATGGAGCACCTGGGATAAGAAGCCCCCATTAGCTTTATTTATACCTATTTACACTTAATTACTGGGTGCCTTCAACACTGCGATTTGATTCTTTCCTTTTGGCTGAACTAAGAGCAAAATGGGTTTTAACACTTCTCACAGAACAGAGGTTTCTCTTCCAGACTTCCGAGTGGTGGATAATAGACTGAAATAAAAGTTGCAAGGTTATTAACCTCTTGCCTACTGGCTGAATGAGACCATAAACATCAATTCGTGTTTATGATCTCACTTGCATAGAATTTGCTGTGTTTCTGACAGTTCTGGCCCACAGAGTCTGTGTGTAAAGCTGAGTCTGCTGTCCCTGCTCAGTGACCACCAGCTCGGTGCAGGTTTCTGCACAGAGCAGGACCAGGGCCAGGGCAGAGACTGAGGAGAGTTTGCAGCATGGTAGGGCTGGATCCACCCCTTCCAGCAGAGAGGACGCTGATAGTGAGGCAAGGAGGACTTTTTACGTCTTGGTGATTTCTTTGCTTACTTCCTTCCTCTATCTGTAGTGTAACTACCAAAAGCATTTCTTCTGAATGTCTTCTTGTCCAGTCCTCTATACTCCCCTGTGTCTGATCTTGCCCATTCTTCCTACAGCACAGATATGCAGATGCTTATGTTAATCTGCCTACATTATTGTAATTAAAAAACCCTCACTCACTATTCTTATGTTGCTCCCTCATTTTCTAATGTGTCAAACTGAGTTTTCTTCAGATAAACTCATTTTAGTAGCAGGTTCCACATCAGCCAATGCAGCATGATTGAGCCATCCATTGCATTTTTTCATTTTTACCTCCTCTTTAGTCCTCTGTCAAGTTAAAGTGAAGGAGTTGTCATTGGTGAGATGGATGGGTCTCAAGAAGTCGCTGTTCTGGCTGCAGAGCTCCCAGCTCTGTCTGGAGGGGGTATTACAGAGTGATGATTAGTAACTTCCTGCAGACTCCGCTGAACCATCTGTGTTTCCACTCCTTGAAATGTGCTGTTATTTTCATCACCCATTTGGTTTGTGTCAGCTCAGTTTACATGGTCATTTTCACATAATAAACAGGTAGTTAAATTAGGCACACTGCATTTCCCAGTGTGGAGTGTTATTTTTTTGACCTCTTGGCAAAGCCAGCTACGACTACTCTTATGCATAAGTAACTTGTGAAGGAGCTGTAAGTGAAGCCTCGACCTTTTTAAGTGTTTGTAGGTACTTTCCACCTTTGAGGAATGGGAATATTTGGGTTATGTTTGGGTGACTGCTGTGCCTGAGAAAGATGAGGTGGTGTGTCTGGGATGCACGGAAGGGCTGGTGGAAACTGTGCCCTAAGTGCATCCTTCAAGAGCTGATATTTAATTACTGTCCATTTTATGTTAACTTAGGAGAAAGTGTTTTTCTTCTTGTATTGGAGTAGGAAATGTGGAAATCAGCGTGGTGCCCCTGCCTGCTGTGAGGGCAAAGGAAAAAACCTGCATGTCACAGAGGGATGGGCATCAAAGGCTCAGTCCTTCAAACAATGCCGTGGGATGAAGTGACATTAACAAAAAAGAGCTTTATCTCCTACTAATGTACAAGTCTTTATCTTCAGTGTATCCTAAGAAGACAGTTGGGACTTATTTATGGAGCAAATGCTCAAGGAAGTTTTGAGAAGTTTTAAGGAAGGAAGTTTTGGGGTCTGAACCAATAGTTTGCTGTGTGGAGAGAAGCTGAAATCTGTTACTTGATTTAAAGCAGTAGTTCAGCAAACTGTTGATATGGAATGAAGCTGAAAGAGTAGTTGAATCTTTTGATAATTTTCTGTGCAACTTCATTCCTCCTACCCTTCATTTAGGTTGTCCTCAAAAAAATTTAAAAAAACCAATCTATGAAGTCTTCATTGCAATTTTTCTCTATTTAGTTTGCAGAATGGCTGCTGTTATTTCAATAAAATAATTTTGGGGGCTGCTTCATTATGGTTTCAAGGTATTGGAGAGGGTGGCTCGTGAAGAAAATCATCCTGTCACTAGAACTCTATTAGATTGTGGTCCAGGGCACAAACCTGCTGTCTGGGTCAGGTTTTTTCATGTGGTAGGACGAGCATCACTCTGACTGCACTTGAGCTGGGAATCCTGCAGCTGGAGCTGGAAACTCTACATGAGTTTCCTTGAAGTGATCTTTTTTTTTCTTCCATAGGCAGTTAAAATAGACACTGTCTCATTAGCTGTTTTCTAGAGTTTTTAAGAATGTAATAATTAAAATATTGACCTGTTTGTACAGGTACAAGTACTTTTTTTCAGCGCAGTTTTGTCTTATTAATAGTTAAAAGAAGCTGTTGTGAACTTAATCATTTCAGGTAATGAATATTTTAGTGAAGTTAATATTTTAATAGCTGTACCAAGTCACATCATTGTGGGATCCAAATAAATAAATAGCTCACAAGATTATGATAACTTTATGTGTTACTTCAGTTTATCAGTGGTATCAGCAGCCACTTAGTCTTTCTATAGGAAAAGCAGGATAAAACAGTATTTGCTGCAATCTTAAGGCACTTGGATTTGGTATATACATGTTAGAGGAATGAGTGAGACTGATCCCAGCTCTTGGGGTGTTTAACGTGGAGTCACTGGGGCTGGCAGGAGTCTGGAGCCTCTGGGAGCAGGGGATTGTGGCATTAAGGGAACCCTTTTCTTTCTCAGAGTACATTTTTGTGTGTTTACATCCTATTTCTGTGGCTCATTTTGCTGCTTACAATTACCTTTTTTTTTTTTTTCAGTTGTCATAGATGTCATTTCAAAGTTCCATTTATAATGAGAAACATATGCAGGACTTTGTCATTGTTGGCATTACCTGGCTTGGTAGAAATTATTATTTTTAATCAAAGGCAAACGTACTGATTAAGGATGCCACAACACTCTTCTGCCTATGGGAAACGTTAACAGTTTATAAATTGTTCTTGGTGACAATTCAGTAGTGAATTACTTTGATATATATGGCTAATAAATTAATATGATTAAGTTAATGAGTAGTACAAGTGTTGCCAAACTCCACTCGTCGGGCTTTTAATGCTGCTCCACATTTGCAGCTCCAGCTTCCCCCTGTGGTGAGAGGATCAGTGCTACCTACGCACTGTCATTGTGATAAATGGCATATCCCACAGTGCCCTGCACTCCATCTGCTCTGTCCCCAAAATGAGAAATAT